AAAGAGGCGCTGTCAGACCCTGCATTCTGACATGCTCTTTCAAAAAAATAAGAAATTAAATATTTACAATGAGCCTGGAGAGAGAATTCCGGGACCACAGACGAGCTATTTTTCACCCAGCTTTGGTCAATATCTTCCTCAAACATCGTTGCAGCGTGCTGAAAATTTTACCATAGCTTCTTCACTATAGCCCCAACATATCCTGAAAATTTCATGCCATTTGAACGTACCTGAACTGAGATCAATTTCTGAGAGCTCGATGGTCCTAAAAGACTCCTACAGAAAGTTGGAGCGCTATCAGGTCCACTTCTAAAACCTGAACTGTACGAAAGTCTAACCACAGTAGTTGCATCAAAGCATGTCTGCTACTCCAATTGAGAACTTGATCAAAGTCTTAGTACATTATGAAGCTGAGATCCAAGCAGAGGACAAAAATCGACTACAACTATAAAAATGTCTACTGACCCATGAAAAACATTGGCGTGATACAGAACAATGAGTGATAGCTGAACAAGAAATTTTGGCTTCACGGAGCTCATACTAAACAGAACCAGTCCGATAGACCTTGATATTAAGGTTTTTCTTTTTTTAACATTAATATTTATTGTGCCATTTAATAAATTGGTTCACAAGTAATAAAAGAAAGAGATGAGGTAGTATCTGTAGAACATTCCCCAAGACAATTACACATTAACACTTGTAGAGAAGACACAAGTAAAAAAAGGAGGACAAAGAACAAAGAAGGAAAAAAAATAAAAACATAGAGTAGAGACACAGACGTTTAACAATCTAGAGAGACACAAGAAAATATAGAGACGTGTGAACAGGGAGGGATAGAAAAATTCATCAATCTTTCACTTAGGGGGTAAGGAAAAACTTGAGCACGAAGTGTCATATGTGGGCATTGGGCTTCAAGAAACAGCCATATTGCTTGGTATGAGCATTGTCAAACTCAATCCAATCGATAATGCAGTGCTTGGGTTGTTTACACAATCTACGGGCGAAGATACTGTTGGATCTGAAACCCATAGATTTGAACCACTCCCTATGAGGAAAAGTTATGATCAAGTACGCTGACCATGTCAATTGAAAATCAGTAGCTTCATCAGTAGTGAGGAGGTGTTGGATCAAGCGGCGCCAGTACTTAAAGAGACAGTCATAGATCGACTTCTCTCTAGAAAGGACCAACGTCGTAAAGTCGTCCCACTGTGCTAGAGAGTATACTATTCGAAGTCCCGTACAGTACATATGCACAATACGTTCTTTCTTCCCAATGGTTCTAAATATTATATGCATCGCTCTATATACCTGATTGATAGTCTTCATTCGTTCATTGATATACTTATCCCAGCCTAGTTTTACTGTCACTTGTACCCCCAAATATTTGAATCTACTAACATATTCAATCACTAGATTCTTATAATAGAGTTTGGGATACAATGGTGAAACTATATTGTGTACCAACATTGCCTTGGTCTTGGTTATATTCACCGGGAGAATTAGATTATCAGCGAATTTCTCAAGTTGCTTCAGTATAAAAGCTGCACGTTCTTCTAGTTCATAGATATTCTCAGAGAATTTTCTTTCAAGTGATCCACAGAGGACCAGCGCAAGGTCATCTGCGAAGAGGTGTACTATGGTGTTATTAAAATAAGATGGAAGGAAGTGAATATGTAATCGAAAGAGAGTTGCCGCAATAACAGAATCTTGGGGGGCTCCTCTCTTCATTTGAACTTCCCGTGATTTCACATCTCCGTAATATATGCTAAAGGTTCTGTTTTGTAACCATTTGAAAATCCATTTTAGTAGTGGTAAAGGCATGCTCAGTTCATATAGGTTATTCAGGAGTGCAGGTATCCACATATGATCGAACGCCGAGAGAAAATCAATAAATAACGTCAATGCAGGGCGGTTGTTCGCGGCAACTGTTAATCTCAGTTCTTCTATTAGTGTTATAATTCGGGTTTGTAATCTCCTACCTGGAGAGAAACCTGACTGTTCATCAGTGTAAATATTATTGTTTTTACACCATGATAAAATTCTGTTATGAACAATACGTTCATAGCATTTCCCGAGGTTAGGAAGGAGAGATATGGGACGAAGCCGTTCTGGAGATGGATATAAACCTTCTTTTGGTATACATATTATTTTAGCATGTTTTGCGGCAGTGAAGAATTCACCTTTTTCAGAGCATCTATTGAATAGTACAGTTATTATGTTCATGTATTCCTCAGGTACTTTCTTCAAAAGAAACGCTGAAGTATCTACACTATCTGTCGACTTTTTTGGTGCAAGTTTTTTCCATACACGCATTACTTCATTGATTGATATTGCTTCAAGTGGGATGTTGGGTAATGATTCAATTTGATTATATATGGAAATGCATTTTTGATGAAAGGGATTATTTGCATCAGGTTTAGATTCATCAAAATGTTTCTCGTAGTGATCAGCTAGTACATCCACTATCCTCTTTGGATCCCTCACTTTCTCAGAATTTATTGATAAGCCACGAAATGTAGGAGAGAAAGCATGAAAAATAGGCCGTGTAAATTTCCATATGTTTTGTTCTCTTGCTATCCATTCCATTTTATTCATATACTTTTGTTGTATTATTTTATATCTCTCCTCACGAAACTTAGCTTTAGTTTGTAAAAAATACTCCTGATGTATACCAGTTCTATCTCGTCGATAGATACGTCTTCTCCTGTTCACTTCTCTAGCAAGAGCCACTAGGGCAGGTAGCCAGGGGGATTTAAAGTGTTTCACTTCTTTGTATATACTACACCGGTCCCATAGTGTGGTGAGAAAATTCGAAAACTGTGTGAAGAAGAATTGTTCATCATAGTTGTACACTAAAGAAAACCAATATTCAAAGACAGTACGTAGAAAGAAAGAAAATACATTCCAGTTTGTAACTCTAAACTTATGTGCTTCTGAAACAAGTAGTGGTGAATGCAAGAGAATAGGGAAATGGTCCAATGTCCCTTCTTCCAGGACTTCATTACTTCAGCCTGTGGCATCATGTGTTATTCCAAAATCAATTATCGAATCTGATCTACGGGATGTTGGTTTAGTAGGTACAATCATTGTATTTCCTGTTTGTACCAGCCAATCAGCTAGTTGATTACCACTACTGTTGTTTATTTCACAACCCAAACTATTATGCTTAGCATTAAAATCACAGAAAATAAAAAAAGGTTTATTTTTACATTTTGAAAATATGTGAAATGGAGGTGTTGTTCCAGGTGGAATATACACAGCTCCGATAAGAGTAGTTTCAGGAAAAGTCTCAATCTCTATTAATAGAAAGTTCAATTCACTAGTTATTAATTTGTACTTAATCGATCGATGGCATAGTATAGCAACTCCGCCAAAGACGTTGGTTCCTCTTGCAGTTATCAGATGATATTCAGGGAAGACGGGTGCCTTCTTAAGCACTGCATTACCGATCTCCGTCAGAATACATATTTGAGGGGCATAGTTGTTCAGAATAATATCCATATCAGCAATATCACTGTTTAATGAATTAACATTATAGAGGAGGAATAGTAGATTATTTTTATGATTACCGGGTTTCTCTTTCTTCCATTTTGTACATAGTTCAGATAAAAATATTCGGGAGTTCCATTCGTTGATTATCTGCTTCAGTTCTAATTTGTCCTTTTGAGGTCCAGTATATGTGTGAATAATTTCATCATTGATCACAGGCGATGCAAATCTAAACTCTTTATTAACCATAATTATAATTATAATTATCATGTAAATGCATAGTAACATCAATTATTTTTTTCAGTAAATCATCAGTCCCTAGTGCATATGAAGAGAAAATTTTATCAAGTGATTCTTGACGTGCAGTAATAGGGAATGATGTTAATTGTTTCGACATTTCGACCAGTTGTTGATCATTAGATCTAGACATCATAAACGACACTGCTTGATTTGTTATACGATTATATTCCAAACATTCATTGATTGAATTTTTGAGTATAGATATAGCTTCATTTTGTTTCTGTATAATGGTTGAGAAGCATGAAATTAATGACTGGATTTGTATAATGCTTGTTTTCACTTGAGTTTTAATTTCCATATTTTTTCTATCATATTCTTCTTTAGCAATTGTACAATCATTTTCGATTTGTTTCATTTGAATTACCATATTATCTAGAATATTTGAAGAAAAGGATGATGAATATGAATATTTAGAACAAGGTATTGAAGAACGTGTTGGTAGAGGTAGTAAAGGCCATTCGCCATTACTAATTTTGTCATCTTGATGAGTTGTAAAGTACGGTTTATATGTAGATAATCGTTGATTATTAATAGTTTTAACACCTTGTTGACGGTATTGAGAAGGGATAAACAATTTTATATCATCAGGTAGTGTTTCAGGATGGTGTTGAAGGTATTTAATAAGATCTCGACGATAGTTTAGAATATCCGGACATTTAAAATCAGTGGATAAATGACCACCATTGCAGTTGTGACATTTAATAGTACACTCCTTATGATCGCCATTCTTCCTATCACCACCATACCGTTTACAACGTTCATAGTTGAACTGGTACTGTCTCTTGCTGTGACCAGGCTCATTGCTTTGGTGGCAAAAGAGCACACGTGGAACAGCAAGATATTCTACTAGATGAAGGCAATGACCTTCAATACATACAATACCTGAATTAAGTAATTTATTATAATCCATTTAATCAATTATATCGATACGCACATATCTAGATTTACCATTGTTAGTACCTAATATGTCTTCAATAGCATAAATTGTCTTGTATTTCTGTAAGAGTTCATTTTTAACATCATCAGTGTCAATGGAATTTGGTACACTTTTAATGATAATTGATCTTTGAGGGGGTAGATGCTTTGGTAAAATAACCGTAACATTCGTGTTTAATATTTTATTAGGAACACTTTCGACATTACATAAGTATACTAATAATTCAATATTACGTGTTATACAAATTAAATCACCATTCTTATCAATGAACCATGTTTCAAAACCAAAAGCATCATTTATTTTCCGATTAAATTGTTTGTAATTTGGTTCGATTAATTTTAGTAGTTCTTTTACTAAACATGAAGCATCTTTTTGATCAACAATTTTGGGCTCACATATGAATCTAATATTTGGTAATGTTTGTTTAACTGCATAATTAACTGCATCATTAGTAATTTTAAATTTATTATTTCCTGTATCGACATTGTCTATTAATTGATTTGTATTCGAATGGTTATTCCGATTATTCAGTCGGTGGTGATTATAATTGTATGTAGCTGTCGCTATAAGAGAAGAATTAGTAATTGTACGAGATTTACGTTGATTTGATCGAGTTCTTTTTGGTGTACCCGATCCATAGATATTAAGATCATGATCATCACCACTTTCAGTACGATTTCTTTTTTCTCCTTGTTCATTAACTCCAAGTGATGCTCTTAAAGGGTATTCTTCATTTAATTTTTGTAATACAGTAAGTTCCACATCACGTTTATCAGTTTTACTTGATCTTGTTGACTGCACATGTTTATTCAACTCCAGTTCTTTATTTGACATTATAATTTAATACAGTGATTAATTAACAAATTAAAGAATAGATAATAAATATATATTAAAGTATATCATGCGCTGCCACCTTTGCCACTTATTATGTGAACACCGTGACAGAAAGAGAAGAGGAAAAAAAAGAAAAATTATATATACGTCTTACCACAGTGTGAAGAATATGATGAATGACCTTGATATTAAGGTTGAAGTGAATAATGTAATTGACTCTACGACTGAGACTGAAAGTTGTGTCTGAACCTGAGTTTCCACTAAGATAGGTAGCAGAATGACTATTTGAACGGCAACTTAAACGAAAATAACAATTGGAAAAGGAATCTTAACCAAAGCAACGATACATACGACGATGGTAGCCGAGACAGCTGCTGAAAGTGCCTCCCTGGTCTCTACGAGGATCAGAAACGATCCTGAGACCAAGACTTTATCCGAAAGTCGAACTCTGACGAGGAATATGTGTATGGATAGAAAATACTTTCCAAAGCTGCAGTAGAAACCAATATCTACTCTCATATGCATAAGAAACCTTTGAGCTCGGTTTTAACAAGATGAACAGCATAAAACAGCATACTATTGTTTGTGAAACCTTCATATTTTACTTATTCTGTGCGACGATAGAAAACAAAAAAAAAATAAAGCCGTGATATAACGCACATTTTTCCAATCATCGAGTAACTTTATCTTTCTTGATTATTGAAGCTGTCTGATCGATAAGTGATAGAACAAACAAAAGAATGATATTTTTTTTGTGTGAAAAAGACCCAGTCTGTCTTAATAATATATGATCATGTTTTATCCAACGTATACGGCTGAATGCACGCAAGCCAAACATTTTTGCGCTTTGTGTATAAGCAAAATAATGCTTTCATTTTCTTTATTAAACAACACCGATAAATTACTAACGTATTACATTCGTCATTAGATATATTCATCGCATTAATACAAGAAGCAGACGTAA